AGTGAACTATTATGACTGATCTGTAAATTCTTTCTTCATTTTTATTTTGGACAATTTTTGTTGTTATATTCATTTATGTTTGTAAATAATTTATTTTCAATTTGCAACCTATTAAAAATAATTTAAAAAAAAAAAGAATTCCTCTTTAAACAATGGAAGTGGACAGTTACTCTCAGCATTAGAAACACAAGTGTTGGGCTGGCCAAATAGCTCAGATTAAAGCGCCTGCTTAGGCAGAGTGCAGCAGTGCTACGCCAGCCCCATCCCCAGGTGATTGAGATTGGGTATGGTGGCATGCACCTGTAATCCTAGCTCTTGGGAGGCTGAAAACAGGAGAATCACTATGATCTACATAGTGATACCCTACTGTAGACCCTATATTTTTGTTTTGTTTTGTTTGTATTTTTTTTTTTTTTTAGGGAAGGATCTACAGGGTGTTCAGGGTCTCACTACTAGATGGGACTTTTAGTGATCCATCTGTTTACAGCCTCCCAATAGCTGGGATTACAGGTATGTGCCAGCACACCCACTCTCAATTGCCAGCGCAGGGTGCCCTGGGGGTGGGGCTGGCATGGCAGGCCCCAGAATTGAACTCCTGGCCTCTGCTCTACCTAAGCAGGTGCTTTAATCCACCGAGCTATTTGGCTGGCCCTTAGACCCTATGTTAAATACATTAAAAAAAAAAAAAAAAGAAAGAAATACAACTGTTACAAAGAGGGCATTTTCTCAGCAGAATTTCTGAAGGGTTTTTTCCATCTCTCCTGCTGTTTCATCTACTAGATTTGGAACTGGGATTGACATTGGAAGGTAGCTGACAACCCCCATCAGTACTTTTTTTTTTTGGTACTGGGGATCAAACTCATGACCTTGTGCTTGCCAGGCAGATGCTTATGGTGCTGAGCTATCTCCCTGCCCCCCACCAGTACTTTTTGATGTAGAATTGGACCCAACTTTGCTGATTTGCTGGGGATTTGTATTTAAGCTTGTGATAGCTAACCTGATGAGCTACCATGATCCTTGGGTGGTGGCACCATTTGCTTATTTGTTCTGTACATGCTGCAGCATTCCTGATTGGTAAAGTGAGCTGATCTATAATGATACCTGTGAGATCAATTACTAAGCACGGAAGATTAACATTTACTGAAAGAACTTTATTTTTTATTTTTATTTTTATTTATTTGTGTGTGTGTGTGTGTGTGTGTGTGTGTGTGTGT